ATTGCATAAAGAAAGTAAAATATAAAGGGGCACACCCCTTTATATATTAAGGAAATCCTCCATGATCACTAATACAAAAGAAAGTTCTTGGCGTCACGTGCAGCCGCAATCCTTCTGTCAGGTTCCGCCATCTTCCGTTGCGCAGCAACCCATCCCAATCACTTATACAAAGGAAATCCAACTATGCAACCAAGAAAACCACAACCAATGTATGCAACCAAAAATCCCTGTATGTTCCGTCTCCATAGCTGGGTGGCCGTAACAGTTTCACGAATTAGCACAACGCTGCAGTTGCTTATTCACACCAAGTGGAAACATCTCTTGGAATGGGATGAGAGTCGGCTCACTCTACAAAAGTTAGCCTGAGAGCAGTATGCACATGCTGTTCAAAGAAAGAGAGTACCAATTTCGACGGTTTGGGGATTTACTGATGGTACGATTCGAGCAATCGCACGACCAACTCGACGGTAAAAGACATGTTACAATGGATGGAAGTGCAAGCATTGTCTGAAGTATCATGTTATTGTAATACCAGATGGTCTTATTAGCCATTTGTATGGTCCTGTGGATGGGCGTCGGAATGATTCCTTTCTATGAAAAGTGTCTAATTTGCCGATGATTTTGCAGCAACATGCTCAGACACTGAATGGAACTCCACTTCAGGTCTATGGTGATCCTGCTTACAGCATCAGCAACTTCCTCCTTTCCCCTTACCAAGGTGTGCACATCATGTCCGATCAGAAACTTTGGAATCGATCTATGTCATACTTGAGGATAGTAGTGGAGTGGGTATTTAAAGAGATAGTAAGTATGTTTGGTTTTCTTGATTATGTTAAAAACTAAAAACATTTACTACAGCCTGTTGGAGTATAATATAGAGTTGCTGTACTTCTTCATAATGCTCATATATGCCTTCACCGGCCTCAAATTACACAGTATTTTGAAATTTCAAGTATTGTACAGGATGGAGAAGTAGATAAAGAGTTAATTGAGGAAGAACTCTTGGAACCACAAAGTTTGTTTGAGTATTTTCATAATTGATTCAGTATGGGTTTTTAATTTTTATTTCTTTTATCAAAACAAATATTCAGAAAGTAATATGAAAAAATAGGAGAAATATATATATACATCTATTTCAAATTTCATTATCCTTTCTCAATGCCTCCAAAATTAAAACTAACTCTTCCTTCCTTGCTTCTCTCTCCAAATATGCATCGTGAGATCTCCTCTCACTCTGCTCTCTAATTTCCTCAGTAAGTTCTAAAATTCCCTGCAAGAGATCCTCATGCTTGTGATCTTTCTTCCTTTCAATTTCCTTCAATTCCTTCTTATCATTTTCTATTCCTTCTCTGAAGTCAAGAAGCAAGGCATCCACATTCTTTACAGCCTGATTTTTCTGTTTCTTTTTAGCAGGTACTTGGGTACTAATACCAGATCCATCAGATCTACTACTTCCACCTAGTTCCTCCTCTCTTCGCTGAACCAGTCCCCGCATAGAGTCCTCTCGAATCTTTTTTCTATCTAACTTAAGTTGAGCCGCCTTCAGCTGTGCCAATTTCTATATCGCAGGATCAGTGCTCGCTTGGTCCTATCACATTGCTAACTCAACCATGTTGATTTCGAATTCTCTGAATTCTTCATCGGTTCCACTCTTGCGAAGGGAGACAAGTTCTGCTTTCTGTTATTTATTAGCTATTGGGTAAAATCTATGGGCCTCAAATAAAGAATTCCTTTTAATACCTTGTAGATTTCAATGAGTTTTTTGATTCTCTGCTTACATGACTCTGGACTTTGAGACATTGGTTGTGGTTTCATGGCTTTCAGAGCAGTGGATACCTCTGTCCATTTTTCCACCATTCTACCTCTACCATAATTGAGAGGATCAGTTGCTAATACCTGGCGTACTAGAGCTCTGTCCATCCAACCTAGCCATTTGGTAGCTTTTGCCTGGGCCTGTGTGCTGCTTGAGGGAGTCTGCCCATTGGCTACCATGGATGCTATTTCATCTTCGCTTGAAAGTTCAGAAGTAGCTGGGTCAAGATCCACGATTACTAGCTCTTCAATTAGGTTCGATGTCATTGCTGTAGGTCAAAAGACTTTTGATGGTATGTTCAAGAGGCGTTTTTTATTTGGTTGTACTTTGGTTGATAAGGTGATGTTAAAAAAGTGGGGTATTTTTTTTCAGGTGGCAAAAACTACATTTTACACTACTCCTAGGTGTCTCTACCCACCTAGATGGTCCAGACATTTCGGTTAACACAAATTAACCGATTTTTCATGCACCTAGGTCCCCAATCGCAAACTCTCTAATACTCATATGGTGGCATGACGCAAGATTAGGCTTGGTGCAGCCAAGACTTAGTATAAAAGGAGTAGGTTTGCGTCATTCAAGAGAAGTGACCAAGTTTTTTTCAAACCTCACAGTTTGGCTACCAACAGTCGAACAACAATCATGGCTCCCAACATGAAGGATCTTCAACAACAATGCAAGGATGCTGGACTTAATCCTACTGGAAAAGTTTCAGAGTTGGTCTAATGCCTAAAGGACAATCGGAATCGCATCAAGACTTTGTCTGTGGATCAACTTGAAGAGGATCCAACATGTGATACAATACTCGTTACTCAATCAATGATTGATAGCATGGATGACAGAAAGAGAGATGCCCATGATGAGCTGAAACAAACACTAGAAGAGGAGGGACTTGAGGTTCATGAAGTGATAGGGGATCTTTACGTTGGTTATCCACAGGGTCTTGGTCTCGCTGGTCTTCCGGACTGTGTTCGTATACTCGAGGAGGATCTCCATACAGTCAAGGAGGATCTCTGTACAGTCAAGGAGGAAAATATGAAACACAAGACTGAGATTGCTGAGCTGAAGGATTATGTATCCATATTGAGGCTTGCGGGACCTGATTATAAAAGGGTTCGGAATAGATTTCTCTCTGTCTATAAACAGGATGTAATGAAAAAGACTCTCAAGCAGTGGGACTGGAATTTCATTCAAGAGAGCAATGTAGTAGCACATTTGGGAGATGCTGTTATTGATGGCTTGTTGTATGATGGTATAGGAGAATGACAAGATGATTACGTATTCGAGGAACTTTATGGACTACATCCCTCTGCGGTCAAGAAAATCAGTAAGTAATTTTTACTATCTAATCAACTTCAGTACTAGTATTAAAGCTAACTTCTGCAGACCACAAGGAAACAATAGATATGTTGAATCGCCATGCCAGGGTTAAAGCAAACAACCCACCTGGGGCAGAGGAATTCTACTGGAGATTCGCTATCTTCTTGGCAGCATTTAGAAGGGAGGACCCTGGGTTTAACTATTTAGAGCACTATCACACGAATCCCACCTGGCTCGCATACTGGTCCCTACAGGAGATTCAAATCTGAGGATTAAGGTAATACTATAGCTAGAGGTATTCTACAAAGGAGATACTAATAATACTTTAGTGGATCTACAAAGGAAGGAAGGGGGGGTTTTGGTGTAGTGGGATCATGGGTGCACAGGGTTGTGGGCAGGTGGTTGAGGGGTGGGACTCTTTTGCACTTTCAGTACTTTCTTTTTTTCTTTTGTTGCTGTTTTTAGTACTTTTTATAGGTCAGGTTTTGTTGGAGGGTATTAGAGGAGTTTACCTAGACTATATTCATTCATAATTATGCTCTTGCATATTCCAATCTGTCTATCCCCATCGGCAAGCAGCCCTGATGGGTTAGTGATTTGAAGTCAGGAAACCTTCTATACTAAAATACTTATCACCCAAGACCAGTCCTGAAGTACTCTAACCTGACTGCTTGCCTGAGGATACTTGATATCTCACCTGCCACAGTTACATTACTAAATGTATTGTAGTTTAGAACAGGTTGGCTAAATCTACAAGATTAACAATCAAATTTTCTTGAGAACTAGCTCTGATATTTAGTACAAAACATTGATAGCAAGGTTCAGCTAAACTCCTCTATTAGGGAGATTTTAGTGATGGAATAAGATAACGACAATGAGCAAGCCTTGGCATCAAGGCTGGGGCTGGTAGTTCTCTAATTCCAAATGACAAAAGCAGGTTTTGCTAATAGAAGAAGATTGAGGAATACAGAATTGCTAGCTGCTTGACTAGTTGAAATCTGGTCTCAGATGAAGTCTGTTTTGAGAATGCTCTTTTTTAGGTACTGCAGATGTGATAGACGCAGCAGTTGCTACTGTTATTTTTATTTTTAACTCACTATTATTCAGAATATGTTAACTTAGGTACAAATACCAGATAACTGAATTTTCCTTATCACCATACTAACATGTGGCACGCTGTCACAGCGACATTGTAAAATGGGAGTCTTGGCACTCGAACTCTCTTAGCAAAACCTCCCTATTGTCTTCCCTTCCCGTTTTCAGCGTCCCTTCTCTCTTTACTGTTCTGTATCAGATGTATGGAGTTTGAACTCCTGTTCTCAGGTTGCAGTCACGGTCTTTTTTCTTTCCCTCCACATTCAAAACAAGGCTGAAATGCATCCTGGTTACAAGTACCCAGCGACGACTACTCGGTAATTCATTCGTCTTGAGTTGCGACATCAGGTTTAATAACGACCTGAGAGTGCATAATACTAGGACGCCACAAACACATAGTCGATGAGATCCAACAGTCAAGGAAATTGTTCCTTTTATAAAGGTATTTTACGCTCGCACCCTAATTCTAACCTCGCAATCCCCTTGGTAGCTCAGAATTTTGTGAACTTGACACTATCACATGCCAGTGGTGGTGCCAAGAGAAGACATATCAATAGCCCATACAGTGGTAACTTACCCTGTCTTCTTACAGCTACGTTCTCATGATAATCCATTTCCGATCAAAGTGGTTGACCCCTCCAGTTTTGATAAATCCGCAGAAACACCACGATCCCCGAAGATGCACCACCGCCTCACCAGATATTTTATGCGGGTGGCGAAAGAGTGTATCATGTTTGGTATGCTAAAGATATCGAAAATCTTCCTCCCAAGACTACGAACCAAATGCATGTCGGCCAGCGCCTACATAGCTTCTTCGAATACTATTCACATAGGCTCCAATGGGGAAGAGGGGTCATCTTCATCCGGAACCCAAGGCGGCATATTTGGTAAGTAAGGTAAGGGTTGGGTTACAGCTGTTGCTAGGCCGGGGAGGAGCGGGCATACGCAGATAAAATATAGACACCCGTTTGCCATCGAGGACCCCTTTCGAAATCAGCCACAATGTGGGCAGGATCTGCAATCCCACCAGAGTACTAGAGTACCGGTACTAGTGAGAAAAACAAAACTAGACAGAAGAAGACTAGTCTGTATGACGGACAGACACTGAATCCAACAATCGCCGCCAAGTTGTCAGTGACTTATTTTGGCAGTGAGGAAACGGAGGCGGTGGCCTGGGAATGCAGCGCTCTAATTCACTCATAGAGAGGGTGTTGGGGAGATGGCGTTCACATGATGCCATGCTATAATGACTTGCGGGTATCATATATATCGTAGTAACGGGCCTTCACTTTATGGTAGACTCCGGTGCACTCGAATATGTATCGTACCCCTCACTATCCTCCTCCTCCTCCTCCTCATAAACTACCATATCATACCCGTGTTTCCCCTTGACGCTATGATATCTTATCACATAATACGAGGAGCCGTCGCCGTAGCACCCCCCTCCCCCCCCCAACCACACATATCCTTCTCCCAAACTACGATTATCATATCACGATCCAACCCCTTGCATGCACCTCCATCCCCCATCCTCATCCGTACGATATGATACTATAAAGTCGATCGTGTGCACAGCACAATTATCCCGACCTTCACCCCTGTCACGCAAGGACCCAATTAGCTCCCTGAACTCCAACCCCCCCTACACGAACGAACGAACGAACGAACGAACGTCGTAATGGCTTTTCCCCCAGTGGAGTCATTGGCCAAGGTGGCAAAGGGGAAGAAGTAGCGATCACAACGGGAGGTTATTGCGATGAATTATGAATTCCCGAGGGTCGGGTTTACGTTGGAGGCTCACGTCATATTATATCACAGTTTTCATAGTTGTGGATTTACGATGTCCCCAAAGAGGAGGGAGGGGTGGGGTTGAGGGGTTGTGGTGGAAAGGGGTAGTTTAATCACGTGTATTAGTCACAAAGTGTCACTCGTGGGAGACCCAGGGAGGGTGAGCTTTCTCTCTTTTTGGTTGTGGATTGAATCGAGGCGGTACCGGTATCCGTATCCTGTTCTATTCTATCGGTTGCGTTACACGTGCCGCGAATGTTCTGCCAGACTAGGGGAAGCTCTCCCCGATGGGCCTAGAAAACTACCAGTAAACAAAACAAAAATTATAGTGTTCTCTATATCGTGTCAAAGTTTAACCCCACCACTCTATCTGCGCCAAAACCCAGTCCGGTCCGATCCATCCAATTAGACCACCGACCAGCCAACCAACAATTACCCCCACCAGATAAACCAGACCAAACAGGAACGAACAAAACACAGGGTACTATGCAAAGCCCAGATACCCCCTCCATGCCTCCACGAGGGAAAGAAATCACGCGACAACAGCCTGCGCCCTCAAACTCTCCTCAAATCCCCTACACACGTCTTCAAATTCATCCGTGACCTGAGAGCACACACTCGCCGCGTTTCTATTCCGACACTTGGCATCCCAATCGCCGTCCTCGATCCAGCGCCTCGAGCGCTCGACTCGCTCCAGCTCCGATTTCCAGTCAGCACAGGCCTCCTTCGCCACGCGCAGTTTCCGGTTCGCAGCGATGGAGGACTGGCGCACCATGTGTAGAGTGTCGGAAAGGAAGGAGAGCTGCGAGGTGAGCGAGAGGGTGAGGGCGTGGAGGCTCGCAAGTTCGGTAAGTGCGCCGGAGGCCGGGCGCGGCATTAGATCTATTAGCGGGAGGAGGAGGTCCAAGGTGTCGTCGTCCAACGGCGCGTCGGAGAGGTTTACGCCGAGGGAGAGGTTGCGGAGGGTACGGGCTTGGTAGATCATGTGGGTAGCGAGAGCGCTGTGGGCGGTAATTAAGCTGGGGCGGCGAGTTAGTGATGGGAGTGAAAAAAAAAAGTGGGGTGGGGGAGGGGGGTTTACCGAGTACACCCTGATTCGAGACCGCTCTGCGGCGGCAGCTTTTGCAAACCCTCCATTAGCTTGGGTACGATCTCGCCGTCCTCCTCTCCCGTCGTCGTTGCTTCATTCCGGGCAGCCAATTTCTCAATCTGTCCAATTTTTTCCTCAAGCGCAACCGATATTCCAGCTGTGAGATCCTCCAGATCACCATATTCGCTCCCGTCATAATCACTCGTAGCCCCTCCCCTCCATCCCCGTCCTACCCCACCACTGCCACCACCACCACTTAGTCCCTCAGCACCACCACCATCATCCTCCCTGCCCCCATCCTGGCGTCCGTTCCCACCCTCCTCATATTCATTCCCCTCGCCGGCGTCTTCATCATCATCATCATACTCCTCACCGGAATCGTACATGGCCCCGGCGAGCTCGTCTGCTAGGGAACCTAACCCCCCGCCTCCATCGCCAACACCAGCATCTCCACCACCGCCCCTGCCGGCGAACTTCCCGTCTTCGTTGCCCCGGGGGGCAATCAACATGCTGTCGTCATCGTACCCGTCTATCGAAGTGTCCTCATCAACAAACGCGGCGTCAACGTGCAGGTCGTAGAGAGCGTGCGCCATGCTGTGGATGATGGGCCGAGAATGAGGAAAATAAGAAATAAAGGAGATCTACCGGTATCTACTGTATGCTACAGTGAATGAAAGTCGTAGAAGAGGGAAACACTTCTAGCGTGTCTAGTTAGGTATAAGAGGGAGAGGGGGCATGTATATGCTACGGTGGAGGAGGTGGTGGTCGTAGGAGTGAAATTTGGGACGGAAGTTCAAGTTGTTTGTTTTTGCATCAATTTGTCGGTTGGCTGTTCCCCTGAATGGGGTTTGATTCAGATTGAAGTGATAGGATGGCTGTATCAGCCGGTTGCAGGGATGATGAGAAGGTAAATCGGGGCTGGGGAGAGGGAGAAGGAGAGTGGGAGAGAGAGAGAGTGTGTGTGTGTGCACAGTATGTACTAGTACCGTATGTGTGTATGTGTACGAGTACTGTACGAGTACTGTACTATACGAACACTTGTAGGTACGATACAGCACGCGTTGCCAGCGTGGTTATCGTTGGCAGTCGTGGTCGCTTATGTCTTACCGCAGTGGAAGGGGAGGGAGGATGAGAGTTAGAGGGGAGAAGGGGAGCGCAGCATCATCCCATACGGCGCACGGTAAGAGGGAGAGCGAGAGGGAGAAGGAGGGTCAGTGGCCAAGACGAGCACAGTAGATGGGCGGAAGTGGAGATGAAGGTCAACAGAAGGAGGCAGAGTGTTATTATAAGCACTCCGTGTCAGCTCTTCTTCCCCTAAACACTACCTGTATGATAGGATATGCCCCTTCACTCTGGCCGAGTGAGAAAATGGTATCGACCATAATAATATTATCATCACGATAATTGTCGCATTATTTACTGTGCTCTACCGGTATAGCACCGGTATCACATCATACCCCTTCCCTTATGATACTCCGTCTCACCTAATCTATCCATGCCATACTGTACTGTACCCTATCATGTTATTATACAGTGCAGCACTGTATCATACTCGTGCAATCCAATCCGAAGCATTGCTTCTCGCCCATCTTATCGTAATTCATCCTACACCTGACACCCACACCCCTAACCTCCAGATACCGGGACTCTGCAGCAGCAATGACCACCACCACCTTCAATCGATTGAGGAACCCGATAACACAACCCCGGCACGGGGCGATACAAGTCCCAATGAACCTTCCGTGATCGACCACCCCCCGAACAATCCGACCGAACTGATCCTCTCCACTCCCATCCCCGAGAAGCACGTAAAAAGGAAGAAAAGAGCCTCACAGGACACTAAAGCAACAACACACCCCACCAAACCCCACCAAAACACCTCCTCATAGAATAGGAATAAATAATAAAAAAACACAGAAAAAAAAAAAGAATGAGCTCCCTCCGCCCCTTCCACCCCCTCGACCTCCTCCGCCTCAACCTCGCAAACCTCGACGTTTTGACGGAAAACTACGAGATAAGCTTCTACCTCAGCTACCTCGCGAAATGGCCAACCCTAATGTCGGTAATGGAGTCTTCCCAGGGAAAAATAATGGGCTACAGTACTTGCACCCCTCCTCCCCCTTCCCCCTCCACCGCTGTTCGGCACAGCACTAACAAACCCAGTAATGGGTAAAGCCGAGGGTAGCGCCAAGGACTGGCACGGGCACGTAACCGCCGTAACCGTTGCACCGGACTATCGCCGCCTCGGCCTTGCAAAGACGATGATGGACGAACTCGAGCGTGTCACCACCAGCGTGTACAACGGCTACTTCGTCGACCTGTACGTGCGTGTTTCGAACGAGATCGCTATTAGGATGTATGAAGGGATGGGGTATTCTGTTTATCGCACCGTCGTGGAGTACTACTCTTCCAGCATTGGCGGCGGCGGCGGGGGTGGTGGGGGTAATGAGGGGGGGGATGAGGATGCTTATGATATGCGGAAACCTATGCGTAGGGATAAGCACCGGAAGAGCGTGAGGGAGAATGGGAGGGAGGTTAAGGTTTTTCCTCATGAGGTTTGGTAGTGGGGGGAAGGGTATGAGTTTATGATTTTATCATGCTGGCTTTGGAGAATCACAAAAAAAAAGGGATTCTTTTCTTTCTTTTCCTTTCCCTTTCCTCCCCCCTCTCTCTATCTTTTTTATTTTTATTTTTAGATTTGCGGTATGATAATAGACGCATGACCATCCATCCCATGACACTCCTCTTTCATCCTATCCTACTTAGCAGGCAGCAGGTATCCTCTACACTACGGGCGATCAGAACGGCAGTCAGGAAGAGGAGAAGGCTTTGTGTATTTTACTCAGCCCACTGCACTTCAACACAAAATATACAGTGGTCCAAAAAAGCTCGAACCAAACAGCGCAACTTGGTCAAACTTCAGCCCAGCGAGACAGAAACAAAGACACAAACGCAAACTCTTACACAGCCCAACTCGCCGTTCTCCTCCTCCTCCCACGTCTAACTTGCTCATTGTTATACCTCAGCGACCTCCACCCTCCGAGCCCATCCAGTCCTTCATTGCTCCCATTCAGAACCCCTCCAATGATAGGTTGGGGATCATTGCCTTTATCCCACTCTTGGAAGGGCGGGTGATGCATCCCGGGGAGTCTATCCGCTTTTTGTGAACCAGTGTTGACCGCGCACTTGATCAGCTGCGGAGGCGGTGGCCGGGCCTGCTCGGTTTCTGTGGTACAGTCTTGATCCCGATCATTCCCTGCCTCCTCCTCGACGTCGACGACACACTTGTCGCCGGAATCCAAGGGTAATAGCGGCGGGGGAGGCATGTTGTAGGAGTTTGTCCCCGCGCTACTCGCTTTAGATGCCAGCCAGAGGATGTCAGACTTTGAAGAAGAGGTCCGACCGTTGTGGCTGCAGCTACCCAATTCGTCTCGTGTCTTCTTAAGACCGCGATTAGCTACACTTCCCTCGCCTAGTATCTGTCGGTCCGTGGTCCGTGGCCCGTCCTGCACAATATCTCTCTTTCGAACCTCCCGCACAGCCTCCTTGCTGGCATCGGACTCTCGCCTTTCAGAAGTTGACTTCCCGGCAGGTTCTCCCGGGGGGGCTTCTCCTGGAACTATCGGTGACGGAGATGCTATCTCCTGCATCAAGCCGGGAGTTCCAGCAGGGGCCTGGGGACTACCCCGAGGCGCCATGCTCTCCGGCGAATCAGTCACATTTCCAGAAGTGGGAGGTACAGTGCCGAACGTAGGATTAGCCTCAGCCGCATCCGGAGGAGGGGACGGAGGCTTCGACCGCTCTTTGGGAGCTCCCGCAATATACCTCCCTCTATCCTTGTTAGATGATATATCCCCGGGGATGCCATCACTGCCATTCCCACGGGTAGCTGACTCGACAAGTCCCCCACCCGCCAAGGCCATCATGACGGGATATCCCCCCTTAGCATCAGAAGCTCTCGACGGCTGTGTCGGAGATGCAGCCAGTGCTGGGCTTTTAGGGGGCGAGCCTGCCGGTGAACTTCTTGGGAAAATCCCCACTACAGGTTTGCGCCTTGCCCGACCGCGACCGGGACCTGCTCTGTAGGAAGCAGAAAGCCTCCGGGATCTAGCGACCGGGTCAACAATCAGCTCATTTCTCGGCGATGGACGGGGAGACCTTCTCCGATCGCTATCTCCGGTTTGTGCACGGCCGGAGGCAGTACCCAGAGCTCCACCAAACGTAGCTCGGGTCAGACCTTCCCTGTTGCTATTCTCGCCCTCATTCTCCGGTTGGGAAGTCTCGAGCCGCCCTGGCCCCCCGATCTCGTATCTCACCCCCGAGGTAAGGCTCCCGGCGCTTGAAGTCCTCCGGGATCGCAGAAACGATTCACGGACTGCCAAATGCTTCGCGCCGGTACCAGCAGTACCGTCCCCAAGCGCAGAGCCAGATACAGCCTTATCAACGGTCGGTCCCGGCGTGCATCCTGCTGGCTCCGAGACCCGGCCAACTGGCTCTGACATTCCCCCTATTATTGAGGTAGTAGCAGCCGGAGGCATTTGCTTACGAGGGGCCTTCTTCCTGAAGGAATCCCTAATCGACCTAAATGCACTCGCTATAGTCCCTAAAAGGGAACGCTTAGAAACGGAACCGGAAGGAGCGTCCCCTGTCCCGGGGGACTTGATCTCCGTATCCGCTTCATTCTGTGCTTCTACCGCCTCGGAATCCGGGGCGGACAGCGATGTGGGGGTATCGGTGGGATCAACTTCCAGAGAAGAAAAACAAAGGCTCTCCCTCTGCGCGAGCCCTTCCAAATCCCTGAGTAGTCTATGACCCGGTTTTTTAGGTCTTCCAAGGGGCCGTCCTCCAGCACCAGTGTCCCTGATAGAATGATTAGTAGCCTCACACTCGAGGGATTTTGTAGAACCCTTCTTCCTCCGCACGGCCTTTCTCGCAACCGCAGACTGTCCATCAATCGAACCCGACTTTTCCCCCCCTTCTCCTCGCCCGCGTTTAGAATTCTTACCCCCCTTCCACCCCTTCACAGTCCGCAACTGGTCCAACTTCCGATAATTACTAGCCCTGATCTCCTCCGAGGTACTCCCATCAACATCCCTAATCGACGTTGATGATGAGGAGCCCGCATACGGCGGGACATCACCAACCCGCAGTGACGCAGGCTTCATGGGAGCCCGACCCTTCCCCTCACCCTTACTTCCGGACACAGCGCTATAGCTATCCACTGCCGCCACCTCCCCAGCCAGAGAATGCTCCCCACCAATAGTCGCAGGACTAACAATGCTTATCTGACCACCACCTCGCTGGGCAGTCCCCACACGAGAGAACCTCAACACGAGAGACCTCACCCTATCTCTCGGGATCACCTCCCAATCGTGGTGGTGCGGCGAAGAAGTTACGGGAGCACCCATATCGTGGAGTTTCCGGTTGAAGTGGTCTACTAGCGAGTGGACTTTCACGCTGCTGCCAGGTATGCGTGGTGGTAGAGGACGGGAGTCCGGGGTTAAGTTTTGGGGAGCGGGGGGGCCCTTGGGTGCTAAGGATGTCATTGCAGGTCTGGCTTCGCTTCAGCAACGGAAGAAAGGAGGGATGGAAAGGAGGAGGAAGCATACCCACATGTAATCATAAACCCAGCCCACCAAGCTGAACCATTCCTTCCCCGATAGAATACAGGATAAGACGATTCCGGGCTCCGGGCTTCGTGCCCCCCCGCAAGGCACCTTTATGTCATATGCAGACGGACCTCCCAACAAGGCAAACGCAAGCAATACGAACCCAACCCCCAGAAAAAGGAATCCCAGGTAACACCCCCTCCTCCCATCCGCGCTGACGACATTCACTTAGCCAGAACGCACCCACAATACAACACAACACCGTAAAGCCGCGCAATAGGGCAGAATACAAGTACAGTAGGATGCGAGAAATGTAGACCAAACATCATGGACCGCCACACCCATCAATCCGGACATGACGGTGAGTAGATAGTCTTCGCTCTCCCTTGCGCCAAAATAGGAGACAGCCATGGAAGCGGGCTTACACCAGAGTGTTGGCAAGGGGTTTGGAAACGCAGCAAGAAGGGGTGTGAAGTTGGAATTTATTGATTGATTTTGATTGAATGGATAGATAGATGTTATGTTATTAACTACAGTGACGGAATTGGGGGTCTTGATTGGTGTGGTACTAGGTTTCTGGGGATGGGAATTGGTATCATAGCTTTTTTTTTCTTTTCTTTTCGATTTGGTGATGTTTTGGTGGTGGTGGTGAGGTTGATCGGTGATGTGGTTGGTTGGCTGTGGGGTGGAACGTTGCGGGTTTATTTATTTACATGTTTTGGGAGGTTACCCGGCTGTGGAGTGCTGGGTGCTCGGGTGAATGCCGGAGGGCGGTAGGGTTTGTGGAACCGGGGCTTCTTCACGGTTGCTACGGGCCAATTGGTTTGGTTCGGTGTGACACGGTATATACGTTTCCGTGGGGACCTTCAGAGGAGGAAGCGGTGGCGGTATCATATTTGTCCGCTGTACTCGAATACAGCAACTGGTGGGAATTGTTCTGGCGATGAAGGGGAGGTGATCCGGTGGGGTAATTGTTATCTCTCGGCATCACGTTCCCCCAACCGATGATAACCCGGGTCCTTCGTATTGGTCTGACGACGTTAAACAAGTGGTAATAAAAGTTGCTAGCATATTTCGTAAGTGAGTGACCCCACATGACCCAAACTGCTCCTTGCAAAGCAAGGAAAATATCATTGCGATAAAATACCTCAAAGAGCTCCTTAGTTCCCTAAGCAAAAACGGCCAAAAAATAAATAAACAGACCACCGGCCATTTTCTTTCCTTTTCCTATAAAGTCACAGTGAAAGCCGAGGCAATGAAATCTTAAAAATGAATTACTTCACTTGACCACCATCCCCTCCTCCCCCCTCCGGCATTCACAATATCAGATGATATCTTCCTTATCCCATATGATAATTCCGGCTCCTCATCCAGGAAGAGGGAAGGAAGTGCTATCTTTTTACTCCTTTCGGGGCATGTGCGCGTTCCCGTCTCACGGGATTTCTTTGGGTTAGGAGGAATGATTCCGGGGAAAAATTCCGTGAGTAACGCACTCCGAATGGTGGGAACAGCGTGTCCCATAGGGCTCCAATCGTGCCCTGCTTGCCCCTTGGTGAGACTGGAGCAGCGCTGCAACCTTTCTTTTGGCCGTGCCCACCAACGAGCCGGTCGCCATTATCCGGCTTGTATTGTTGGGTTGACATTTCCATCCAACAAAGACCAAGTATGAACTCCCCAACGATGTAAATGTTCTGCATGCGCTGAAAGAACCGTGGTGGATATGTTGCCATCATGCTCCGAAACCGCTTCAGCGCAAGTGATCTAGCGCAGTCTGAGAGCTCCCTTTTCACGTGGACTCTCTAGTATAAAATAGCCAATATTTTAGAAAGGGTATGTCCGGAGCGTCGGGGGAGGGATCGGTCGAAAGGGCTTTGACATGTTGGGAATTCAGATGGGTCAACCAGATTCCTGCCATCGCCGAGTGAGGGCTGCTGAAGATACCGGGATGAGCCGGAAGAGGCTCTCTGACAGCAAAGTGGGTCACTGTACGAGTACTCGGCGACGGCAAGAAAAGTCTAAATAAGCCACTCAAAAGGGGTGAAACTGATATCATTCAAATTCATACTTGCAGCGGTGTTGCGGGATGAAACGCTACATGCGCGGGTTTCTAAGTCCTAGCCCGTCGCACAGGTCCCGTATAACACCGGCGCTATGCAGAGTACCATCAACGAGGAACCCCCCCGCACTGGTGGCGGACCGACCCATTCAATTTACACATGAACCAGGCAGCTTAGGTTTCTAGCACTAAAAAGCCAAGTTTTGGTGGGAGAAGAAAAAAACACAATCAGCAATGATAGTACGGTGGGTTTCAAATTAAGGTGGATGAAGGATTCCCTACGTACTCGATAATATTTTGATGGGAAGATTTGGGGAGGAAAAAAAAATTCGGAAAAATCCAATTTAGTGCTTTAGGGATTTTTAAATCAGTTCCGCCACCGCCCTGGGACACGGCGTCTGCATTAATCGAGAGTGGTGCTTGTGGAAGTATCGTGCCGGGAAATTCAAAAACAGCGTGATACCATACCAGGCTATCCATGTCAATGGGATGAACCCCGGATTTGGCTTGAGATCCGGTGCTCGAAACCACGTGGCTCGGATGTAAGGCATGGGATGCACTTCGGACCGCTCCCTGACAGCGCTTTTGACATCCGGGGTGTGACGAGAACCCAGGCACAGTTCCACGAACGACATTTTTGGAGAATCAATGCATGGAAATGCAATTTTCGAAAGAAAAAAAAGCAAAGAAAGAAGGAAAGAATGGAGCCATCTTTTAGCTTACCCAAACCTTCGTCTAATTTTCTAGACGGATAACCCGGTAGGCCAAATCCTACTATACTCCATATAGAAAATAATAACAAAACTCAATAGAATCACGAGAGCTCACTCGCACCACCCATTTCCCCCGCCCGCCTATTACCATCCATCTTGTCCTCCCTCGGTTCCAGCTTAACCCAGAGCTCAGTAGCGTGATGCACCCCAGTGGCTGCCAGCTTCCACGCCTCCCCTCTCGGACGGCCGCCCACCAACCCAACCTCAAAGTTCCTCAAGACCATTACGATGGCCTTAGCGACGGCCATCCGTGCAAGAGCTGTCCCAAGACAATCACCACTATCGGTGTCCCACTCGAGCTCAACAGCCTTCATCATCTCGATCCCCTCCTCGCTCCCCTCTAGCCACCTCTCAGGGCGAAAACAATGCGCATCCTCCCCAAAAACGAGCTTATTCCTGCCAATGACAATGGGATTCGCTCTGATGGTGCAGCCCCCGGGGATAGTATAGAGGCGGTTGCTGTGGGTAATAGTGACCCCTGAGGGAGGGGCCACACATAGAATACTCATGGGAAAGGTTGGATGGAATCGTAGGGACTCTCGCAGGACCGCAGAGAGGTAGGGGAGTTTTGTGTCGAAGTGCGCAATGTCGCCCCAAGGTGGGATGTGCGGGAGAGCTTTTTTCTCGTAATATGTTGTGAGTTCAGAGAGGAGGGCTGCGAGAACACGCGGATTGGTGAGCAGGAGTTTGAGCGCGCTGGTTATAGCGAAGGCGGTGGAGTCTTCGCCTGCGAGACCGGTGGGGGTGTTAGCTTTTGCGAGTGCAGCTTGAGGAGAGGGGGGAGGGGTACAAGGGAAGTAAACTTCCTCTTTAGTGAGTCTAGTGCGGTTAGGTTTCTTGATAGATATTGCTCTATTGATAGTAAGTGTTGTGGATCTGTATAAGATTGAATGGGAGGGGTATAGAAGGTACTAACTCTCCGAACAGATTAACTTCTTGGGTAGTGCGTTCCCTACTGAGATAACATTCTTCTCCACAAGCCTCTACTTCCTTCCTGGCCTTCCAGGCTACATCAATGATTGATCCAGCCTTCGCTCGTACAGCGGCAGGCCCCACCTTATCTCCCTTCGCCATCCAAACATTACCGGTTAATAGATCGCAGGCGAGAGCCCTACAGATATTAGGAAGCCCAGCCAAGAGCCCTGTCAGCCCCAACCCTCTTTCCAATTCCCGGGTATGACCCCCATTCTAGCCGCGGATATTTTCATCAGCATCTTCTCTCCCAGGCAGACTTGAAATACCCACATCCCCCTCATTCTGCGTACACCCCATGTCGATCCCGGGCACCACTGACCCTATCGAATCAACACTCAAATACCTCGCCGACTCAGAAAGGTTGAACCGAACCCACCCACCGCTACACTCCCCTTTCAGCTTCCCAATCCATTCACTAACCTTCCGATCCACAACACCCTCCCACCCTCCAGTCACGTCTGCAGAATAGAGAGTCTTAGCCCTCTTCCCCAACTCCTCATGTAGCGCCGAGGAACGAATCGAGGATCCATAGACGGTCCCATTATGTGCGAAGGATAGCCAGCACCCGGTGCGATGGGTCTGGGTATATATCTGCTTGAGGTATTCTGGGTCTGCAACCGAAATCACATTCGGCGAGACACGGATGATGGGACCGTAGCGTTCGTGCAGAAGGGGGTCTTGGTCTTCGAGATTTCCGTAGTCCCCCCAGGCCCGCCAGCCGGACCAGATACTTGCCAGGAATGGCCCTGGGAAAGGGGAGAGTGGGTGGAAGTAGCGATTGTAGACTATCACGATCAGGGTCAGGAGAAGGGCGAGGGCGAGGAGAGAGCTGTCGATTGAAGAGAGGGTGGTGTGCTCGCGCCAGGGGATGGGAGTGTAGGTGGTGTTCATGGTTGTGAGCTTTTGTGATGTTATAAATATCCCTCGAAGGCGTAGATGTGTTAGAGCTGAACTTCGGCTTGAAGGCGGGAGAGAAGGTGAAGTTCACTGAAAAGCTTATAAGGTAGCAAGAATTAAAAGTTACATGGTATGGGCATCGGGCTTCTATTACATTGCCGTTGTGCTTCTATGGTGTCATCACGAAAGCTTCCTTTTGAGATAGACTAGACTATTTCGCTTCTAGAGGGTTCCCAACAGGTACCTCACCCCAGGCAAGGGCCACCCTGCTTTAGGCCTAAAAAAGTTCCGATTCTCAGGTCCGAGGGATAGAGAAGGTGATCCAAACAACATGCCTACACTCTCTTCCCGTTACGACTACAGAATTTACCAATAGGAGGGTTCGGAATTCAAGGTGTGCCAGCTTCATACAAATGCGTTTCCCGGCAGCGGAATTGGCCCTTGGCCCCCTGGTCGAGGTGGGGTACTCGGGAGTTTGGCATGTGCCAGCTCAAGAGAACAAACATTACAAATATCTTTCTATTTATTTTATTCTTCTTTAAGGAAAGGTAGCCCTTTAGAATTGTTTGGCCGCACCTTGAACTTCGAATCTCCCCCTCTCTGAATCCTGAGATAAAAATGTGAGAGCGCAAGGGGAAAGGAAAAATCAAGAGGTGTTATAGATATCACAGTGGGGAGGACCACTACAATTTCTGTTACAAGAAGCCAGCCCCCATGATCGCCCGTGCCTTACAAGAGGCAGCCATGTTAGTCGACGTTGGAGCTCAAGGCTAACTTTCTCGGTGCTCTATAGCAATATAGGGCCCATGGGAAATGCAGAAGACTACCGAGAATGGAAGAGATGAGTCCCGTCATATATCCCCCCTGCCGTTTCACACACAGCCTGCATGCTGATTTGTCACATTTATTCCCATATTGTCCATGCTCTACAATATCCAACAGCCCGTCCTATTACACATTTTTTACATGTACTCTTCCATACTAGCCCCATTTCGAGCCCCCCCCAGTGTTGTTACTCGGCTGATACTAGCTGGGGTGTCCAAAATCCATCACACATCCATTTCTCCGTTTCTTTCTACCACAATTTGAACCGTCCACTAGACAGAAACGAACAAAATTCCGTACAGCTGGGCTTCCCGTGGAGTCACTGGCCAAGTGATGGGAAATTGTATCCGGGTAGTGCTACCAGATGTATACATAACAAGGTAATCGACATTCGAAACTAGGGACCAGGTGATACAATAGATAGAACCCCAACCTCCCAGAGCTCAAGCCAGGACACCATGACGATATCATCCACCTATCCAAGATAGCATGATCATACTGGGCACATAAACCGAACCATCAGCACCCAGCCAACCACAAGGCGTGGCAGTCCCCAGACCGACAAGTATGATAGTTCGTCGGACATTCATACTCGTTCAAGGACCAGACACTCTGGTTAGATAGTAGTCAGTTCTCCACCCGCGCTAGAATTGATGGTCTGCCCTGTTGAGCACACTGATTTATTTATTTATTTTGCTCCTTTTGACAGGTATTGGAGAGGATAGTAGGCCATGCATAAACGCACTGAGACGCATGTACCATTCCGAAATAACGGCTCGCATAGGCTTTACTTGTACTCTATTAATGGCAGGACATCGGGCAAGGAGAAACGTTAGCCTCATAATCCCGCCTCCCCCCCCAAAAAAGTAAGAACAAATATTCCTATCTCACCGGGAGGGAGCCCCTGAGAGGGAGGCCGTGATTCCTGGGGAAGTACTGTAGGCTGCGTGACCAACATTTTTTGAGCTTGGGAGGGAAGCTGGTGTGATGCCCTATCTCCCCCAACCCCTTATTCCGATATCTCCACCCCACCTCTCTAAATCTGCATTGGGAGTAAATCGTGAGGGATTCCTGCCCCTATGAATAGAGAGGGGTGGCCCCGCTTGATATGCGCCGTCAAACTAGCTATTTAATGTAATTAATGGTTTTCCCCATGGGGATCAGGTCTTGGATGGCAGGTATCGTACCCCATGGTATTATGATACTATGAAATCCAGCCTGAGCCCAAGTAGGCAACTGAGGCCCAGAGTCTGTTCATTACCAAATCAATCGAGTGATTTTCCATGACAAACTCATCCCCCACAAAAGCTAATAGATAAAGCTAATAATTTGCGGACCCCTAATAATAGCAAAGTTAAAAGAGCCCTTAAGCTTTCGTATCCCACTAGTTTTTCAGAGAAATCCCCCCCCAAAAGCAATAGGAGGCTCCTTCAATACGCTATGTTTAAATCTTCAGTTTTCTTGATGGAGATGTGCCCAATGTGTTCGCAACGGCTCCCGCGACATTCAATAAGGTGTGAAGTGCCGTCACCGTGCGCAATCGCTTTTCTCAAACCCTTCCGATAAGGCTCGAGGGTAGCCGATATTTCACATCTTTGTTAATGAAAGATGTCTTCGCAGAATCCATCCCTTTTTTTTTTGCCCTCAATACCTACCCTAGAGCAGCTCCCCATCTCAGTAGCATTCAGCGGACTATTCAACTATGATATTTCGTCAAAGTCCAGGAAGCTATGGAGTGTTATTCAGTTAAGGAGGCCAACTTCAAAGCCAATGACGGAGACAACAGCACAGCATTCGAGACCCTAACCGTAGAAAGGAATGGGGAAGGGACACTATATGATTAGGCTTTGCCTAATAATTTGCGCTCAGCTCCACCTCCCCTTTAGTTTTTTTTTGGGACGACGGGGTCACTCTCACAGAAACAAAGGCTGGTATAAGATTGGGAGAACCGTACAAACACCCAATTAATTCAAACTAAAATGGTAATTAGGAAATAGGGTCTCATGAGCACCAGATGGGTACACCGTTGAACTCCATACAGTACTGAGAGTATTGAAACACGGAAAAGCCCAAGACAGACCAAGCTAAAAGAGCCCGAATTTCGACCAAATGCTACCCGGTGACTCCACATAGCATCCAACGAATTCCAGTGCGATCCTGATCTCAGATAACTATCCCTCAAATGGGAAATTAGATTGTCATGTCTTTTGATCCCATCCCCCGTAGAATCTGAGAAGTGGACCGTCAACCGATTTGACAAGGTGTATTACCTCTTAGCGTTCAGTGAACACCTGCCCCGTCTTGAACGGGGTCTGGCAGGCGCAATTTGACTTGTTGGGGGTGCACTACTAGCACGAAGAAAACAAGTTCATGGGTTGTTTCTCACAATTAGGTGATATGAGGGATAAACCTGCAATTGAACAGGGTGAGAACCTGTCACCTAAACATCTGGACAAGAACAGCGCCGGTTAGAAGCCATCTTCAACTAGATACAGCCACTCGACAGAAGTGTTCGTGATCTGAGACATGTCGTGCGGTTGCGCCATAGGGCTGGCTGGGGTGGGGGGGGGGGGGTAGTTACTGCTGTTGGCATGCGATGGGCAAGTGAATGAACGAATGAACGAATGAATAAAGTATAGATAGTAAAGAAATCAATAAATGTAATTTAAATAGATAATAATAAGAAAGATATAAACTAATAATTAATACCTGGTATATCCTCCCTTTGCCTCCAAGACTACTGGCACCCTATTTGGCATTGATTTCCATAATTTTTCAAAAAAAATCACCAGGAATTGTCTCCCAGACCAAAGGAAGTACCTGTGCCAACTTCTTCTTAACAGCCTCTTTTCCTCCTAGGGTATCTTCAACCCTTGGGTACTGCTGATGCAATCACTTTTTAAGCTCAACCCATATATGTTCAATAGGATTCAAATCAGGGGAACAAGGAGGATGGTATAGTACATCAATATTATTTTTCTCTAGCTAATCCATGACACTATAGTCTTTATAAACTGGTACATTGTCCTGCTGAAAAAGAAAATCATGAATACCATAAGCTAACATCTAGTAAATAACAGGAATCAAGTGTCTTCTTAAAAGTTTTATATACCTAGTTTTAGTAATATTTCAAGTAATAGGAACTAGAGGACCTTTGTTTTTACCCCAAAAGCATCCTCAGACCATCAAGGAGATTCCCTTATTCTTCTCCTTTGGATGAATGCACTCAGCCAACCATTTTTCTCCAGGTTCTCTAAATACTCATTACTGTCTTGAGTCTCTAGATTTTTCTACACTGCACTCATCACTCCAAATCACATCTTCAAAGTCTTTACTTATCTAATCTTTATAAGTAGTAACTTAGTCCATACAAGTCTCTTAGCAACATACTTAGGCTTGAGTTGAGGTCTGAATTTGGCTCTCCATTTCTTTATATTGGCTTCTCTGAGAACTCTATCAACTATAAGCTAAAATATTAGTCTAACTGAAATTATAAAATATTATTCTAGAGGAGTTAAACTTACTGGTTGCAAGGGAAATACTTGGTGCATATTTATCCCAGAAGTCAGTTCAGATCATGGTATGGTTAGATTTAGCAGCAGAGAGTATTGTGCAACACTGTTGCCAACTCAGGAGTGGGGAACTGGGGCAAGAAATATTATCTGGTGACATTCACTCATATGTATTAGAAATAGTGAGATACTACTCAGCATGCTCATATCTTTCCTTGCTCCCACTACCCCTCTCCATTCTCCCTTTCCCCTACCCTTCCTCCTATCTTTTCCCATTCTCTTACCCCCCCTACCCTTTTTTCCTTCCTATATAGTTTGCTTATTTGTTTATTTTTAGGAGAGCATGCTGCCAGGTGATGAGAGAGAGTGCATGGCAGAGTATGTGAAAGAGCATGGGAGCCCATAAAGAAAGAGCATAGAATCTCATAGTGAGAAATTGTAGCAAAAAAGCAAGAGCATAGTAAAAGGCTTATAGCAGGGGAGTATAGTAGAAAGGCAAGAGCACCAAAGCATGATGACAGAGAGCGCAGAAAATCATGGAGAAAAGGAGCATGGGAAAGTTCACAGAGAAGGAGTGTGTAGGAGCACAGCAGATAGGCATATGGTAGAAGCACAAGTTTGTCTTCCTTTCTTTATTAGCTTCTCTTGTTCGGTCAG